CCGGTGGCAGCTTCACCTGGATCCCAGCGCTGCCCTGGGGCTGGGGCGCGCTCCCCAGATAGCGCGGGTGAGCACTGGGTGCCAGGTGGGGCGGAGGTGCATCTGTCTGGCCGAAACTCAGCCAGGGCTTGTGCACCCCCAAAAGCACGGGGTGCTGCCAGCGGTGGGGAGTGCGGGAGGTGAGGACAGGAGCTGGGCATTGCACGCCTAGGGAAATGGCCGCTGAAACCTCGCTGCACCCAAGCACACAGGTTTGCGGAAACCCGTCCTGTAGTCTCTACAGGGCTGTTTCCAGCTTCAGTAAGACACGTTTGCAGGTAAGCGCCCTCAAAGCGAGCCCAGTGACACCCCAGCCTGGGGACCAATGGTAGGGGAGGTGACAAAAGCAGCCCTCTTTCTGACAAACATCTGCAGGGGCTTGGGGACTGCCCCAAGCTCCTGCAGCTCAGCTGCAGCCGGGAGGCAGCTGGAAAGGCTGTTTGCCATGCCCCGGCGCCACCGGCGGCCACGGCCACTGCTTGCCCATCTGGAGGTACTAATCCACACCTGGCTCATCAAGCACCTCTCTTTGCAGGCAGGGGCTCTAGGCACTGATTTGCACAAAGGAAAACACTGTCCTGGTGGGGATGGGCTGAGCAGCGAGACCTTCTCCAGCCCAGAGAGACAGGGGCGAGCTGGACACTGACACTGCTCCATCCACATCCCAGAAAACCCCAGATCTTTGGTCCCACCGCTGCAGCACTGCTGTGGACTGGCCAGCTCTGTCCCCAAAACCTCTGCAACCAAAACCCCTCCTGCCCCGCGGAGAAGGGTGCACAGGAGGGAGAGGAGCAGTAGCTGCAGGATGCTGGCTGGAGAAGAGGGTCTGCAGGTGAGGAGAGGAGGTGAGTGGTGGAGTCCAGCAACCCAGCACCTCAGGCTTGCTTGCAAGGCCACAAGACCCAGAGCACCTCCCCGCTGAGGACCGTACACCCCCAGCACACTACCCTTTGGGGTGGGGGCCCTCAACACAGCGACAATGTCCTCCATCTGCTGAGTGAAGTCAGACTAAGAAGCTCCACACCAGAGGAGGAAAGTTGAGAGCTTAACCAAATTCTGCATCCAAGTTCAGGAACCTGCAAGAGTCTGTCTCTTTCCAAACACAAACTTTGCCCAATTTCCAAAGAAACTAACTGTTGCTTCAGCTCAAAGCTGGCAGAGAAACAAGCATGTTATAAAACACTAGATGCACGAGATGGAAAACTTTCCTTTTCTCCCCAGCACATCCCGTCTGTTGTGCCATGTCCCTGAAACAGCTGCTCTCCAGGAAGGTACCTTTCTGAGTTAGTTTGCAAGCCCAATTAATAGTCCTTGACCTTCACTTTAACCAGGTAAGAGGATGCTAGGGATGCTCTCACCACAGAGGCTCCTCCTTGCCCGCCAAGAAAGCCTGTGCTTCAGAGGTACGATGTGCTCCCAACCACACGGGTAGCTATGGAGCTGTCGGCAGTGTTGCCAGGATCGCGCATCTGCTCCCTGCCAAACATCTTAAACATATTCTGTGGAGAAGTTTAACACAGTTTCTCAACCTCTCTTTTGAAGCCAAGAAAGCCTAACTTTGAGCAAACTGCTCCACGTGTTAGCTCCCCCTCCCCCAGCCCTCTCCATGGTCTTCTCTTTGAGTTTCTGTTTTAGTTTTTCGAAACAAGGCAGCGGAGGGACACAGCACAACCCTAGCTTGTGGCCATGAGCAAAGTAATGCCTGTAGCACTCGGCTTGTGGGGGGAGGCAGGAGGGAGCGGAGATAGCAGCTGTATCGGAAAAGTTCAAAATCCCCCCCCAAAAGAAGCAAAGCAAACAATAGCAAGTTCAGATGAGAGGAGGTGGAGATGCTGCCTGTAAAGCAAATGCTTTCTTCGCTGCTTGGTATCGTTAAGTGACCCCACAGACTCAGAGGCCCCCAGTTTCTGGGGCAGAAACCCCTCACAGGGAGACAAAAGCCCTTGACTGCAGGTGGGCAACGTGACAGGAACCAGACCCC